ATATCAATGTTAGTTCAATTGTAACAAATGTACCACATAGATGCAGGATGTTAATAATAGAGGAACTGGGTAGGGGTAGGAGAGAAGTATATGGAAACTTTCTGCTAATTTTTATGCAAACCTGAAACTGCCCTAAGAAACAAAGTCTATTAATTTTTAAAAAGTTATAGTAATTTAAATCTCTGTCACCTGAGTATGAGAATTCCTATTACTTTACTTCTTCAACAATAATTGACATTGACAGATTTCTTAATTTTTGCAATTCTGGTGAATAGAAACTGATATCTCACTGTGGTTTTACTTTCTATTTCTCTGATTATTTATAAAGGAGAGCATCTCAGCCTATGTTTATTGGATATTTGTGGCAGAGATGGCTGGCTGTCCACCAAAATTTCATGACCTCATTCCCACGCGAGAAGTTGTCACTGGGAGGCAGCTGCCACATTTTCTACTAATTTAGGTGTAGGTGCATGGCATCTTCTCTCCAGTCAAAGAGAATGTGTCTTATTTCCTGGATGGAATTTTAAAGAAAAATATGTGTCTTTTCCTCTATTGTCTGGAATCAAATTACCTGCTGCCCTGAGAGAGAATTGAACCCGGTCCCTGAATTATCACACAGTGAATGCCATCAACCCTCTAGAAGACCGTCACTGCCCCACTGGAGCAGCCATCGCTATCCTTATTGATACAAAATTTTCTTTTGTGGAATATAAGATTATTTCTTTTCCCTACTTTTTTATTAGCTTTTAAAAAATTTATTGTATTGTAGGACAGACTTCATATAACCTAGAAATAAATACATTGTCAGTTGTATATATTGCAAATGCCTTCCATTATTGGAAGCTTATGACTTTTTTTTACTATCTGTTATTGTCAATTTTAACGTGATTAAAGTTATTAATGCATTATTTTATTTGAGTTCTTGACTTCAATGTACTTCCTTGAGAAAGCCACCTTGAAAACAACAATCATTGTCTTTTAGAAAACAAAGAAGGGATGTGACAGCAGGAAAAGTGCAGAGGCCAAGGAAGGGTGGCCTCAGATTTCTTATCAGAGGGAACATCTTGAATTTATGTAAATAGTAGGAATACTTGGTGGAATGCCCTCTAGCACAGTTTGCTACAGATAACACAGCATTAGGTGTGTCCACCCTGTACCCTTGCTCAAAAGATAGAGTCATTCAGCAAAGTAACCTACAGGACTGATACAGCACTGTAGTGTCACTATCAGAATAAATGTCCTTTAAACTCAGAGATATTAATATCAACTCAACACACACACACACACAAATACCTTATGACTAACAGCTCATAAGTGCAAGTCATTGTCCAGAGTCTGAGTGAAGTTTGTGACCTTGGAAAATAGAAGCCAATTGAGTCTCTGGAGTGAAACCCATGCCCCTGACCTAATTAACACTGTGTGAATAGAAACTGAGATACATGTCATCAGAATAGAATAATAGAAGATCAATACCATATGCTTTGGTGACAACTCAACAAGATCCAATTATTATAGCACTTTGAAGATTCCATTCCCCGATAGGGTTTTCTACTGACGTGAGCTAGTAAATCATGTTCTTTACAGTGTGGTTTAAGCCAAACATATCTGAATTTTTAAGAAGAAAAGAAGGGGCTTCTCTGTCTCATGTACATAAAGATAGTGTGCTTTATTTTTTTATGTAAAATTTTAAAACTTCCTTCAGTCCTTGAAACATGTGAGTTGAGTGTTTTTAATGTATGAGGTAGAGATTCACTTTGTTTCTTCATATGAATAATGAAGTTTTTAAAATTAATTAATTTTAAAGGGTTTATTTTTCTCTACTACTCTGCAATTGATAAAAGTAATAATTAGATAATTTCATGTGTACTCCAAAAAATAAATACAGATAAATGATGAGTAATCTTTAAGTGGAAGTATATCGGTAAGGATTTGTTCAGGAGAGTAGAACAAAAGTGCTTGCTGGTAAAACTGTTGCAAGGGCTGGAGGAAAGAGGTCAAGGAACTTACCTCTGAAGATTAAGAAAGCTAAAACAAAAGATTTCAGCCTAAAGTCTAAAACAGTTAGTTACAAAAGATTGATGAGTAGCAGCTGCAAAACTCAAAAATCACTGAGAATCTCCCCCAAATTTCTTAATCTGCAGCAGTAATGCAGATAGCTCTTAGGAGCTCAATTGCAAACTACTGTGAATCTCACATCTGCCAATACTTCTGGATATAATTGCCTCCAGAGAGTAATGTCTTCCCTTCTGCCTTCTAAATCTCTCATGAGTTTCTCTTATTGGAAAATATTAAATATGAACAATACAGAAAAGAAGAATCTGGAAAATGTGGTTTCCAGCCTGACCACCACAATGCAAGGGAAGCCTTAGAAGTGGGTGATGATGATGCTAAGTTAACAGCAGACAATCTAGAATAGGACACAAGGACAAGAGAGGGGGACTGTGTAGGAGGCTGAGAGAGTGTCCATGTTCAAGTCCCAGCAATAGGTTGAGGGACTCAAGGGACAGAGCCACCCAAGATAAGCCTACTTTAGATCAGCTAACCTACTGGTTAGCTGACCACAGAAGCATGAGTGAGACCAACCAAGTCTGGAAAATCAGCCACCCCAGCTAGATCAGCCTAAGGTAGATCAGTCAAACGTCAACTAATCCTCAGATTCTTAACTAACATAAATTCTTATTGTTGAAGGCTGCTGAGACTTTGTGGTCATTTGTTATCCAGCATTTTTGTGGCAAGAGCTAACTGATACACAAGAGTATGAAAAGCTCTTATGTCACAAGGGCACACCTAACCTCATTAGAGTGGGAAAGTATATTATTGCCCTGGAAGTGAGAAGGAAGAGGTAAATTTTTTTTAAAACAATAATCCAAATTATCAAACTTAATATCTGAAATGTTGGACAAGTACTTCTCAAGAGATGTAATTTTTTCTTGCTATTCTTTAAAAATTTACTTAGTTGAGGATTGTTTTCCTCTTCAACTGAATAAAAACTCTTCTGGACCCCATAAATTCTCTTCTAATCCTTAGGTATTAGAAAGGGTAAAGATTACTTTCTATCACAAACACTGCCTCAATTCTGTAGTTAAATTTCCTTTTCCCTCATTGGATCTAGCTGCAGGCAAGTAAGTGAGGTTCAGAAAGGAGTCGTAATGCTACTTTGTCTCTTTCTCCTCATTTTTCTCAAGTCCAGTTGCAGTTTCTGAACCCACTTTCTGGTGATGGAGTATGGAAGGAAGAATGAGAAGGTGATAACAATAATATTTTTCTTTGATTGCTACTGTATTAAAATGTTTTGGCTTCTCTTGACCTGGATGATGGTTAAGACTCATTCTCTTGTCACTTCTAGCCCAGGGGATATTCAGAGACTGCTGCACTGCCTTCCCACACATCCTGTAAGTATACTTTTTCCTGTGAATTCTTCTCCTCATATCCTGGTTTTGTAGTGATGTATTACCTACACATCTCTTATTCTTTCCTGGAGCTTCCTAGGCTTTCTAATAGGTTTTCTTGAGAAGAATTGAAAATGGTTTCATACCATTTCTCTCTCTCACATAATCCACCTATGGTCCATAGGAAACATTTTTACTTCTATTGCCCCACCATCAGGAGAAGTGAAAGTATTTCCCAAATAGAATTTTATTCCATAATTCCAGTTCTCTCTCTCTCTCTTTCTCTCTCCTCTCATTCATCTTTCCTATTGCCCTCACTCTCATAAAGCAAGGGATATACATCAAACTCTTTAAATCATTCTTTTGAAACTTCTCCTACTAAACTTCAAGTGAGGAGGAAATCATCCCCTTCTTGGCTGGAAGATTTGGGGCTCTCTGTGCAGCTTTCTCAAAAAACAAAGAAACAAACAAAAAAATACCACTCTACAAGAACCTCTCATCTCCAGCTCTTAGGAAATTTTTAGATCCACATCTAGGTTGAGAGGCTCAAAAGTTATGAAATGGATTATTGGGTATTTTATATAAACATCTTCATTTTGTATCTTACAGATACAAAATATCTTGCAGATACTCACTTTGGTATCTGGTATCTATCAAATCTTGGTGCCTCAGATAAAACTTCCAGTTTAACATCCTGACACCAGCTGCTCCCTCTTCCTGTGCTCATCAGGAAAAGATAGAACTTCATGTGTCTGGATGATTCTGATTTGTGAAGTCTCAGGTAGAGCAACACATCCTTTGGCAAGGTTTTCATGTCCTCTGCCACTAGGCTGAGCTAATTATTCCTCATCAGGAAACAGTGATCCATATAAACAATTATGGTCCTTGGCTGAATAGCTCTAGAGTCCAACAGCCAAGATTGAAAACTTCCTTTCACTACCTGCAATTTTAAGGAAGTCTTCTTCAGCTCTTTGAGCCTGAGTTTTCCCAAAATATCTCTTAGGGTTGTTGTCAAGATTAAATTAGATGATTTTAATGCATATTAAGCTGTTCAACCAGTACCTGAGACAATGGAGGTGATGTTAATTTTGCTGCTGATTACCTGTTTGTGTTCAGAGAGAAAGGAAGCATGGGCTATATTCCTGAAGGTCAATAAATCAGAGTGTTAATTATTATATAAGGAAAGTAAAATTTAATATGCTCTCCCTGAAAGTTCTAGAAGGGCTCAGGGTCCCTGGATGCTTGGGTGCCTGGGTGAAGGAGAAGCCATATTGTCACCAAAATGGAAAATCCTTTAGAAATGGAAATGTCAAAGGTCAAACACATTTGATAACAAATTTAATATTGGGAAAGGGCTATCCTGATGGCTTCTATTCATTGATACCAACTAAAGTGACATAGCAACCTCAAAGTATTTACAATCCACATTATCTGAGAAAAGAGCAAATTAATTCCCATAAAGCATATAACATTCTAATACTCTCCCTATCAGGTGAAAGAATAATGTCAGCAAAGATTTAGGAGTAACAGCTATGGAAACAAGACAAGTGAGCTATATTTTTAATAATTTGTATTTACATGTTACTATGGAAATAAGAGCATATGAGTGCTTTAAAAGAAAGGTAAGTATTGTTTGGAAGAATATGTTTTCTTACTCAAGAGTTTTTTCAAGGCCCCTTTCATGTCTTTATTTCTCAGGCTATAAATGAAGGGGTTTAACATGGGAGTGACCACTGTGTACATCAATGAAGCAATTATGTTATTGTCATTGGTGTTGTTGGATGAAGGAAGGAAATATAGACCAATAATTGTCCCATAGTAAAGGGTCACTACTGAGAGATGAGATCCACAAGTGGACAAGGCTTTGCCAATGCCCTGGGTAGAGGGAGCCCGGACGATGGTGGCCCCAATATGGCCATAAGAAACCAGGATGCCTAAGAATGGAAGCACAATGGTTGCTATTCCCACAATAAAGATTAGCAATTGGTTGAGGGAAGTGTCTGAGCAGGACAACTTGAGTAGGGCATCAAGGTCACAGAAGAAGTGAGGGACAGTGTGATCAGCACAGAAGGACAGCTGGGCCAGGAGGAGGGTGTGCAAAAGGGCACAAGCACAAGTAATGAGCCAGGACCCAGCCACCAGCATGGCACAAACGCTCTGACTCATGATGGTGGTATAATGGAGAGGATGACAGATGGCCACATACCTGTCATAGGCCATTGAAGTGATCAGGAAACTGTCCAAAGCAGCAAAGAAGATGAAAAAATATGTCTGTGTAATGCTTCCTGCATAGGGGATGGATTTGTACTTAGTGTGCTTGTTCATCAACATCTTAGGGACGGTGACAGATGAGAAGGAGATATCAGTGAAGGCCAAGTGGCTAAGGAAGAAGTACATGGGGGTGTGGAGGTGAGAGTCCAGCCTGATGAGCAGTATGATGAGTAGGTTCCCCAGCACCGTGGTCAGGTACATGCCCAGGAACAGGGTGAGGAACATGCTTTGCTGCTCTGGCCAGAAGGGAAGCCCCAAGATGATGAATTTGGACATGCTGCTCTGGTTCTCCCTCCTCATACTGGTATATCAGCTGGATGGGGAAAGTTTAAGGGAAAAAGAATGTTTCATGATAAAAAAAATGATCACTGTGGCATAACATAATAGAGATGTTCTTTTGATTTAGAGAATATCTTCATCTATATTTTCTTACATTTGATGCATGTTTTGCTGGTTAAACGTAGAAAAGTGTAGGTTTACTTTACATAGCTACTTTCTTTCTCAACCAGATGCCAGTCTCTGTAAATGATAATACTAATAGTTAATGTTTATTAAAAACTGTCCTGATGCTCTGTTCTAATAGCTTACATGTAGTAACTGAGTCAACAGTCTTAAGTAGGTGAGCTAGGTAGGTACTGTTATTATTCCCACTTTTGGATGGTATAACTGAGGCAGACAGTCACACAGTCACTGAGGTAAGAAGAAGAGAAAATGGGCTTTGGTGTCCAAGCATTTTGACTTCGGAGTTTGGTCTCTGGAAGCAAAACAAATGATTTGACATCAGAAATCTCATTGCCCGTCATAATTTTGTGGGTAATGAGCTGTTTAATTTTGTAAATTTTGCTTCTCTACACATTCCATGATTATTTCTAATTTGTTCTTTGATTGTAGACCCAGAGTGTATCACAGACAATTAATGTATACCCAATACAAGTTTGTTTAACAAATCACAGATGGCACATACAATTAAATTCATTATGGCAGCCTCTTTAAGAAACTTACATCAGTCCTTGTTGAAGACCCAGATTTAACCCTAATAATCCCAGGACCCCTGGCTATTTAGCTTCCACATGGCATCACATTCAAAGAAGTACAATCTAAAAGCCAAACGTAACTTTAAAAAGGAATTATAATCTTTTTGGCATCTCTAAAATAGCCTATTAGAAATTTATTTCCTAACCCAAATCAATGTTTATCAAAATATCTATATATTTTTAAAAGAGAAGTTTGGGATTCCCTATAATGTATCAAAGTGATTATAAAGCTATACTTATTACAACACATAATGTATTTTTACAAAGATAAACCAATGAAGCAGTGGAAGAAAACAGAGAGCCTAGAAACAGACATGTTTATAATGAAGACTTGGTCTCACTGTCTTTTTGTCAGCTAGATTAAGAAGGTGACCATGTACCAGTCCCAGTTCACTCACCCCTAACTGAATGAAAGGAAGAGTGTAATTATGAACCAACTTAATCCAGTGTTAAAAATTCGTGTTAAATGATAACTTTCAGTGACTACAGTAAAGTAGCCATCTGGCTCCCTATGTCTGGAAGCAGATCATATCATAATATTTATGAATGCTTTACCAGTTGGTCTCCCAGAAACAAATGAAGGATAGTTTGCTATTTAGTCCCAGAGGCAGAAGGCTTTCTGCACAGATTCCAGAAGAATCTCAGCAGACCCAACCCTGAGCCCACAATATTCATGGATTCTGGAAAATGAGTGATGGAAGACTCTCTCTAATTTTTTTAAGATTCTTCAGATTATCTAGGTCAGTTTTTCTTAAGGGGACATGCATAACTATGGCTATGTAGTGTGATTTCCAGAACAACACTGAACCTTCCATACCCCTACCCAGAACACCACCTTCAATAGGATGCTAGTATCTGAAATTCTTTTAGCAAGAGAAAAAGGGCTCTAAGTTCTCAACTTTAGATTCAATTTAAAAATAAATGTTCTTGGGATAGAGAGCCTCTAGCCAGCACTCTCACTGAGATGGAATGTCTGGAAGTTGTTCATATTTGGGGACAAGGTTTAGATGGCAGAACAAGGGCACTGACCTCCTCAGACAAACTGAGGAAGGAAGAGGGTTGAGGAGTATAGGTAGAATGGAGCAGAGGCTGTGGACACTGAGAACAAATTTACTGTCTTTCCAATTTGGCTGAGATAACTGCTACAGGGCTAGAAATAATTACATTGTTAACAAAATCTGATTTAGTACTTAATTTGTACGCGGTGCTTTTCAAATACTGTTCACTTCTTCTCACAGCATTTCAACAGAGGCATTCTGGTTCTCATTTTAGAGAGGAGAACGTTGGGACTCAGTGATGGAACTTGACTGATATTATAGCACTAGTATGCAGTGAACCTGGGATTTGATCCCAGGCCTATCTAGATTCAAAGACTACATTCTTCCCACAATGTTACATGCCTTCTTTAACTATATCCTCAAGCAAGACTGTACTTGCTGCCTGAGAGCACTCAAGAATTTCAGGAAGTGACTCAAGACAGTTTGAGAGTGGATGAAAATCTTTGGCTTCAAGCTATGTGCCTTGATGGTAATATCAATAATAATAATAATAAAATTCTAACAATCATTCATTAGTCACATATTCACTGTGTGAATAATATAGGCCAGCTGCTGTAACATGTACTTTATATCATATCAGCTTAAGAGGACCACAGAATTGCATTATTCTCATTTAACCAGTTGGAAACTAAGACTGAGAGAAGGTAAGTAATTTGCCTAAAATCATTCAGCATGAAAATGATGGACAGATCATTCAATCTCAGATTTACCTGATTTCAAAACCATGTTCTAACCACTATGCAATATTGCCTCCAGCAGAACATGATTTGATGAAAAAGAGACATATGTTCTCCTCATTAAAGAGAAAAATATGGGACCCGTAATTTCCATGAAAGCCTTTGGATGGATGCATTGCCTCCATCCTTAATTAGATAATCAGTAGTGAATAGAGAGAGTAGGATACCAGCTACTGGGTTTACAAAGGCTACCCATAAAGTGAATTTCTCAAGGGTCCAGGACAAAAGCAGATCAGACCCTGGCTGATATTTTTTATGGACTATCTAGTTTCTTCAAACAAGGCAAAGATTAAGGCAACTATGGTGCACATCTATTGAAGTAATATCACATAGCAAATAAAATGAGTTCATGAAAACTTCACGACATAATATTTGAACGAACATAACAGAAAATTACATATATTTCTGTTTCATAATTATTTGCAAAAAATTCAGATTATTATTATTTTTAACCCTAGAAGATTGTGCTTATAGCTTGGATTCAGGGCAGATATTCATCAAAACTATGAAAGAGATAACATTTTCCTAGAGAGGAATGTACAAACCACATGGAATTGTAATTATGGTATCCACATAAGATATTCAATATCTCACACAAAATTACGTAAATTTCCTCGCACGAGTGTGCAAAATTTTGTAGTTGATCATTCACACACGCAAACACACATATTGCTGAGTGAAGTATACAAGTACTGTCATTACCTACTTTGAGAGTGAATAATTCAAATACTGTCATCTCTGGGGTGTAAACTAATTTTTCGTTTTCTCTCCAAAAGACTTAGAGCTGGGACAAGGAGAAAAGTCACAAACTCAACCCTGAGGTGAGGATGAGGTACACTCGCTCTTTTTCACCACATTCTAATAATGACAATGGTCTCCATTTTTATGAGGCAGGCTGGGAACCCAGGGGACCCATCCACAAATTTCTGGTGAGGGACTATATGGGAGTAATTATTGCATTTTCCTTACCCATTCCCAGGGGAGATGTGCCTTTCTTGCATACTAAAGATAGTTAACTCTGCAGAATATAAATTTATTATTTGCAGTTTCTTTTATTTATCAAGAATTTTCACATCTATGAGTTCATTTAGTTCTCACAATAATTCTTGAGGTAGATAGTGTTCTTGTCATTTTATTGTGTTTGAGCATGGCTCAAAGGAAAATGGCCAAATGAAGATTCAAACCCAAACACACTAACTTCAAACTGAAAACCTAATTCCATTGCACTATGATGCCTCCATTGGAGTAGTGGGCTCTGTATTGTGTGGACTTCTTACTTCCCATATTCAATGCAGAACTGGGAGGAGCATTGCCACTAGACCCTAAGGAATAAAAACACTTGTCAAGGAATAGTTGAGCTTCTGTTTCTCGGAAATAGAGGGTTTTTATTCCTACACAAACACCTGAATGCATGTAGAGATTTTTTTTGTCAACTATGACACATAACAGTTAGCACATACTCAGGGCTCAAAATATATTCTTTAATCATAAGAATGACAGTGTGAGAAGTCTTTGGAAACTTGTTCCATTCAGATTGGCAAATATCAAGAAGAGACAAAGATTGAAGTGGAGGCACTTTATCCATTATTTTTCCAATAATACATTCATTTGTTTATTTATTCATAAAAATATTGTGTACCTACTTTGTGGCAAGGATTTTGTGAGTACCCTGGGTAAACATTTGAAACACAGTTTTTTTTTTCTCTCAAAATAGCTCCAAGTGTAGTAAGAAAGGTAGACAAGACAGTGTGTGTCCAATGCTATAATGAAGGAGAGTGCTAAGTGTCATTGGAGCAGAGAGGAGGGGTATCAAACCCAAATTTAAGAGGTCAAGTAAGGTAGGCTTGTAGGAAGCTATATGTAAGCAGAGATCTGAGACAATCAAAGCAAGTGAAAGGTGATGTGGACAGTGTAGAGGCAGATATTTGGAAGGAAGAGAAAGAGGAATAGGAAAATACTTGGAGAATAGAAAGAATGAGAAGTTTGGAAAACTGTTATCAGGAAAATTAGAAGAGCTGGAATGTACACTTCAACAGAGAAAGAGGTTCAGGATAAGGCCAGAGAAATTTGCAGGAATGAATCATGCAGTGCCTTGGAAGCCATGCTGAACAATTTTTACTTTATCCAAAAAAGAAAGGGAGAGCACAGAAGAATTTCATCAGAATATTGACAGTGTCATATTAAAAACTATCACTGTAGGCAAAGAATGGATAATGAGCCTCTCTTTGCAGTGGGTGGAGGAAATGTTGGCAGGGCAGGAACTGAGTGTTTGGATGCAAGACCAGCAGCAAGGAGACTAGTTAGGAAGTGGTCACAGTCATTTGGGTAAGAGATTATTGAGGTATGTCTAAGAGAGATAATGGAATTGGAGAGAACTATATGTATTTAAGTCTCCTTTAGAGTCAAAATCTTAGGGATGTGCTCGTTTTAACATGAACTGATTTTCATAAGACTGTAGAAAGT